GGGGGTGTGGTCACTCAGCCTGTCCTGATCCCTCTCAATCCGGGACCCCATGGGGGGATGTTTGACTTTGGTTTAGGCCCTATAGGATCGGGCCTAAACCGGCAGTCAGACATCCCCTCGCAATCCGGTACCGCTGGCTCCTAACTGCTCAACCTGCCTGATCCCCCTAACTGCCTCTGCCTGCCTGCCTGATCACCCCTAACCACCTCTGCTTGCCTGCCTGATGCCCCTAACCGTGCTCCCCTGCCAGGCTGATTGCCCCTAACTGCTCTGCCTGCCTGCCTGATTGCCCCTAACCACCTCTGCCTGGGCCCCGGCCACCGTGGCTTTGTCCAGAAGGACGTCCAGAAGATGTCTGGTCTAATTAGCATATTATCCTTTTATTAGTGTAGATTTACAGGCTATACAAAATTATCAACTTAAAAATTAACCTGCTATAGTCCTGACCAGTTTGGCTCAGTGGATAGAGTGTCAGCCTGCGGACTGAAGGGTCCCAGGTTCGATTCCAGTCAAGGGCATGTATCTTGGTTGCGGGTGCATCCCCAGTGGGGGGTGTGCAGGAAGCAGCTGATCGATGTTTCTCTCTCATTGATGTTTCTAGCTCTCTATCCCTTTCCCTTCCTCTCTGTAAAAAAACAATAAAAATATATTTAAAAAAAGTTAAAAAAAAATTAACCTACTATATTTGGTCAAGCATTTAATTAACTCACCTCTAATACCTCGACAGGGCCAGACCAAATGATTTCCCGGCCTTATCTAGCCCGCAGGTTAGACATTTCCCACCCCTGGTTAATTGTTCCTGCACCCACCCTGGTTTAAATAATAATGACAGAAACATTTACAAATAGTTCACTGATATGTGGTATGATTTCATGCCCTGGTAAATCCTGTTATCATGGTCTTCTACACATCAGTCCTGTATAATCTAAGGAAAATGGACAAAGCAAACCAAGTAGGCAGAACATTTTATTTTTGATATTTTAAAAATTGATTTTTAGGAAAATGTGTTTGGGAGAAAAGAAACAACTGGTATAGTTAGTGTTACAAAGGTCGGAGCACCCACAGGTGGCCTGAGTCTTGAGCAGAGAAGAGCTGTCTGTGTATAGTGTATGTTTACAGAGCAAACCTTCATCATTATGCTCATTTCCCAAAACCCTGTTGTATGAGGGCCAGGTAGAAGTGAACATCAGTTATGACTTGCTACTCCCCAAATATTTGAATCAAATGAATTGTAAGGGCTGAGGTACAGCAAAAGAGTGTTCTAAATAAAAAAGCAATACTTGCCCAGCCAGCATGGCTGAGTGGTTGAGTGTTGACCTAAGAATCAGGAGGTCATAGTTTGAATCCCGGTCAGGGCACATGCCCAAGTTGTGGGCTTGAGCCAATCAATGATTCTTTCTCATCATTGATGTTTCTACCTCTCTCTCCCTCTCCCTTCCTCTCTGAAATCAATAAAAATACATTAAATTAAAAACAATACTCATTCTATATTCATCAGAAAGACTTATTTTGGGTTCTAAGGGCTCTTGGGTGGTTGTCATGATAGCTACTTAAAACATTATAGTGTGGACGAAAGGGGCCCACATGCTAACCCGACAAGCTCAGGGGAGGCCTGCATGGCAGTCTTGCAAACTCAGAGACCTAAAGTAACCACAAAGGATGGTCTGAAATTAAACTTTAACTAAAAGCATTTATGGTGGGTAGTTACGTCCTAGGCTGGTATCTTCACTGACAAGGTCAGCCTTTATCTTAACTGAGCCTATCTGTCTTTTTGCATCTATAATAACATACCCTTGAAATGTCTGGGTAACTTATAACTTTCCTTTTTTCTGGACCCTTGGGGCACAACCTTAATGTGCTGGGTGCCAGGACAGATACCACAAATTCCTTTCATGATTATCATGTTAAATGTTCTTGCACTCACCTTGAGTAATGTGTCTTATCATTTTACTTTTTAT